TAGTCACACAAACATGTGTGTACATATATTCCTCCCCCCCAAATAGCTGAACATGTGAAATAAATATCCCTACACTGAGTTTTTAAAAAATGCAAGATATATGAGAGTAAAGTAAAGTGCTGGTTTTAGCTGTTCTGAAATTTACAAAAGGTGTTGGCTTTTTACTTCCTTACAAAATCCTTTTCTTTGTGCCCTGTTATTTTATTCATGTTTATCCATTTATAAAAATTACACAATAGGGGGAAGAAAAAAAAAGCCCTATTTGACCGTTTTTTGATATTTATAGTGCTCTGAGAAAGGGCCTGGAGATTCAATTAAGTTTATTAAATGCAACATTTTATAAGCAATCTAATAAAGACCTAAAAGCACAATAGTAAGTGGAAAGTATTTGTAAAAAGCAGCTTTTTAACCTATAGATGAAACAACTGCAGAAGCAGAACGATTGAATTTCTTTGCGTGGAGAGTGGGAGAAGGGGACCGTGACGGGGTGGAAAAGCCAGGGCGAGGTGGACAGGAAAAGCCTTCGCTCTGATGGGCAGTTAGCTCTGCACCCCCCCCCAAAACATCCCTGTTCCTAGTTCACCTGCTCCTTCAAAACACTGCTCAAAAGGCCCCAGAAGCGATGGCATCTGGGGTAGGTACGGGGTGGGGAAGCCTGTCTCCATCCAGGCCCGCTGAAGCCGGGGGGCCGGAGACATGGTGCTGTTCCCGAAGCTTCTCCCCCAGCCCCAGTCCCTTCTCTGCGGCAGGCGATCAACTGAGAGCTGCAGGAGCCCAGCTCCGCCAGGTTTCCTCGCCTCACCGGGAAGAGCAGGAAATGAGGACACGAGGGACAAAGTGTGTGACTACCCAGCACTGAACGAGGGATGGGCGGCCTCCCAAATAGCTCCTTTATAACTCTGCTTTTGAATTTTTATGACACAAAGTCTCAAAAAGATCTTAGCGAGAAAACCCCTGGGTGATTTGATAGTTTACTCCTTGGCAATCTCAGGATCGATATTCCTGACCTGGGAGTTTAGGACAGATGCAAGAATCAGCTCTGGGCAGCTGGATATTCCAATGAAAAAGGGTGGCTGCCGCCCTGGGGACCGCGTGAGGCTGCCTGGGATTCTGGAAGCCCCTTTCCTTTGTGCCAGGCCAAGGCCTCAGATTACAAAACACAAGGCACTTTCCACGCAGAACCAAGTGGCAATTTAGTATTAACTGGCCAAAAAGTTTTGCTTTTTTATTATGAATATTCTTATCTCGGGGGACAATGATACTTTCCAAAAAGGGGCGGTGTGACAATATGTTTCAGCCCTTGCACTGGATCTGCCCCTTCCTAGCTGGGGACTCTGGGTAAGGAACCTGACCCCTCCCCTTCCTCAGTTTCCTCCTAGGGATGATACAGGGATAGTGCTCCCTGTGATGGTGGATTGTAAAAACTACATGAGGAAAATGTTTGCAAAGTAGTTGCCACCTGTGTCAGTAGTTTATACCTCTGTCTGCCAGAGTATAAAATAATAATAAGTAGCATAAGCATTTCAAGCCCCTAGCACAGAAAACTTCAGCGGAGAAAGACCTAATTTCTGCCAATTCCATTGTCATAACTTCAAGGCTGCCTCAACATACAGTGCTACTTAAAATAATTACATGTACTCTGTAGAAATAGGTCAGGTAAATGGATAAAATGCATTCTCACTTATTATTATGTTTTATTTACTGATTTCAGAGAGAGGGAGAGAGAGAAACATCAATGATGAGAGTCATCATTGATGGGCTGCCTCCTGCACGCCCCCCACTGGGGGTTGAGCCTGCAGTTCGGGCATGTGCCCTGACCGGGAATCTAACCGCGATCTCCTGGATCCTAGGTCGATGCTCAACTGCTGAGACACGCTGGTTGGGCTCACTTATTATTAATTTAACTTCTCTGGTCCAATCATTTTCTCTGCCAGGTAGTCTCAAGGGAAGGAAAGGAAAATGGCCATTTCGTTTGTGGAAGAATTCTTGACGTGCCTATGGCTCCAGAGTCTGGTGAGGGCCTGGTTCCCCAGAGGGGTGTGTCAGTAAGGACTAAGATCCCAGGCAAGCACAGTGGCTCTTGGCCACAGTAGCAGGCACAGGCTCTCACACATGAATGCTTTGCTTGGTTGGGCAAACCAACCTCACTTTGGTTCTATAGTTCATCTGGATGTAAAATGAGACTAATTTTAAGTGGTATTTAGCTGGTGGTCCTTCTCAGATGCGATGGGAAATATTTCCATGATAGAGTCACTGTCATACATTGTTCCCAATGGTTGTCATTAGAGCACATCCTTCATTTTATTTGTAAAAGAACAGGAAAAATGGACAAGTGAATCTCCCTGACATACGCACTCAGGTTTGGAGAGAACTTCCAAAGCTCCAGTGTCGTCTTGTAACTCCCTCTGGTCACGGAGACAGAGCTAATGGCTTTACCTTTCTGTGAAGATGAGTGTGAGAACTCAGTTCATTGGGATCCTGAGCTGCCCTTTTCCCTTGAGGTCTACCTTTAAGGGTCAAGGTGACAAGGTTTCATGTGGAGAATTGGAATTTCAGTTTAAAGAGCATTTGTGGGAAAATATTTCCTAATGCAAAGGTATAGGCTGGCGTAACGGGCTAGTTTAGAACTGGACAGTAATTTATTCTAGGATTATTTTATGAAAGTTTACAAATGGCTCAAACATCTGTGTTAGGTATGACAGCAAGCACATGTTTACTACAGAGGCGATAACGAGGCTGTAATGTCTGGTCTCAGCTCTGTCCTTGCCACAGCCGAGGCTGGTAACACACTCTCTTTCTATCAGCTTTCTAATACTGTGCCTTTTGCATCTCACAGAAATGCCCAGGGGATAAATGAGATGACATTTATGAAATAACCTATGCTCTTTAGAAAGAAGTACTCTCTAAGTTTTAAAAATTATATTCAGGGAATTATTTACAATCAAGACCATGACTCCCTTCAAGCCCGTTTCAAAATTCATCCCTTCCAAAAAAGCTTTTCCTGGTTAAATTCACCCCTTTCAATTTCTTCCTTATGCTGTTAGCCCCGTGGCATTACATCTATATTGTATGAATGTTTCGCTTTCTAACCTATTACATTATAACATCATCTGTCCTGCTGCCACACTAGAAACCTCGGCAGCATCCTGGCTCCTCCCTCCCACTCACCCATCTCCAGCTAGTGACAAAGTCTGATCAGGTCTATTCAGAGTGTCCTCGAACCCATGGCCCTTCCATGGCCCAGCCCCAGCCTGATAAGCTATGAGTTCCTTGCAAACTGCAACTGTACCTTCTGACTTTGTGTTCTGAGTATTTAGCCCAGAGCCAGGCACACAGGAGGTCCTCAGTAAATGTGTGCTGAATGAAGGGGTGAAATCATTACTCTGCACAGGTGGCCAAGGATCAGCAGAATATCAAAAGTTGCGGTGACTTTAGGCCTTGTGGAGAACCAATGATTCAAAAAGTCTACACAATTATGGTCACAAACAGACCACTGTATCAGATATCATTTATAGCTTCTAATAGTTACTAAAAATTATTTTTTAGTTTTCCACATTAACAAATCATTTCTTGGTTAGTTGGAAATTATTTTCTTGGTTGAGACTACTCTTGACTAAGTCTCTTTCAAGAAGATTCTTTCCTCTTCTATCACCTACAAGCCATAAAAACATTTAAACACAGAATACCCATAATTTAAGTGCCATGGGATTGAGCATACTAAAGAAGGCAAATTAAAATGGGCAACTTTTACCACGAGATGGACTTGAAGGTGCCCATAGCTATAGAATCTCAGGATTAGAAGGGCCCGAGCTGGCTGTTGGAGACAGAGGAACTTACTGTCTTGCCCCCTTTCTATGGCTGCTTCTAACAACAGGCACGAGTAGACAATGACCCATTTGCAGAAGGAAAAGAAAAGTATTCATAGCCAGGAAACCTGGAGAGAGAACAGCTCTCACTCAACCAAGTTATGTGGCTAACATGAGGGAGGCAAAGAGTTCCATTCAGCAAAAGCATCAATATACCTGCCACAGTGCAGGAAAGACACTGCGTCAGGTGTTTAGACAGAGCATCTCTGGAAGCCCCAGTGAAATTCAACCCCTTGTAACAATTTCCATTCATTCTCAAACACTGGTTCCAGGAACGGCCTGGGCGAGCCTCCTTTAATTGGCGAAGGGCAGCGGGCCAGCTGAGCCCTACCAGAGCAACTGGCTGCAGGTTGGCAGGAGCTGCATTTACAAGGGCTCGTGGCCACGTCCAAGGGAAGGTACAGATCATGCAGTGGTTAAGAGCTTGGTTCTGGAGTCTGAGAGGGCTGCATTCAAATCCTTAGTCTGCTCCTTGCCAGTCATGTAACCCTTGGGCAAGTTATTTAACCTTTCAGAGCCTCAGTTTCCTCATTTGTAAATGGATGAAAACAACATCAGCACCTCATTACCGTATGCCTGGAATGCCATACGTGCTCAATTAGAAGTTGTCATTAGTACTAGTTCATTTATGGAAATCCAAAGTAACACAGTCCTATTATGATTTCCATTCATAGGCCATCTAGGCCAAATAAGTTTTCCAGACTCTAAATGTGACATAGAGCGAATCTTGGTCAAATGTTGTGCCGCCCTAATTAGAGCTGATCATTTGTTTCCATATTGCCTGCTGTTCCTTTCTGGCGTTGTTTCACTCGTGATGTTAAAAATTGGTTCCATTTAAGAAACAGGAAACAGGACGCTGTGCTGCCAAGCAGGGTGAACGCTCCCTCTGGCACTCACGCCCTCCCCGTCCATGCTCTGCTGTTTCCCTAGGGTTTGGGTGGCGAGGGTAAGGTTCCCAGGTTGGGTTACAGAGACAGCTGGCAGTGTTTCAACTAAAGTCTGTTTTATAAAGTTTATAAATTTACTCAATCAAGTTACCAGCTGGGAGAGGAGTGTATAAAACCATAGAATTCTAGGAGAGAAAAAACACAACTTAGGTTGAAGTTTATCCAAAAGACTTAAAATGTGACTTACCTGTGAGCTAGTTCCTGGTTTCAAGTGAAAACCAAAAACAAGTTCAAGGTTCACTATTTTTTCCTCATTTTCTTCAGGTTCACCTACTGAGTCCTAAAACAGAAAACCGAACACCAATCATTCTGGATAGTTTTTACTTCTACTTCTCATGTAAAAGAGATGATTTCTCAGCACTTGTTTTTCCATTCTAATCTATTGTTGAACTTTTGGTTATTTTTGGATTAAGCTTCAAATTACAATTACTTAAAGCAAGAGAAATGGCATCTTAAGCTTTCGAGAACTTTGCAGAACGATCTATCTCATGCCCTCCAGACTGGATGTCGCTGGCTCAGTTTCCACAGTGCATATTGCATTGTGCAGCTTTACCCTGGAAATGCACCGAGAGACCTTGCCTTGGGCATTTCACAGCGCTCCGTTTACAAGCTATTCCCAAAGCGGACTTAGGCAGCTCCGAGAGCACATGCAGATGGAGGGCCAGGCAGAGGAACAAATGAACCTTCCAGGCCTTAGAGACAGAAAGCCGTAATTGTTCGTGAATGAGAAAAATTTCATGTATTAAGTGCAAGTATCTATTAATTTAATAACAAAGTATACCATATGCCTTCAGACTATATTCAAAAGAAGACATCACACATACGAATATGTTGTTCAAACAATAAACCGCCCAGCCTAAAACACAGGTGACCATCCCGAGCTCCAGTGTGTGAATTCCTTTAGTGACTTATAAGTTGGACAAAAGGTTTTGGGGGGGGGGAGGCCAGAGGTTGGCAATTCCAGCCTCTAGCCACTAAGGTGACATGTGTGGTTCTTATCATGAACGCACTGTTAATGTTTCAACTTTCGGGGAAGAAAGGTTCAATTTAGGCACATCCTGAGCTTCACTCAAAGGGCCTTTTGTTGGACAGATATGATTAAATTTCACTTCAAACAACAGTTCCCGACATTGGCAAATTTAGGTGTGGAGGCGGCAGGTGCATATGTCAATAAAAGTAGCAGATTCTCAGTAAGAAAACACCTTACTTACCTTAATTAGCGGTGGGAAGTGAAACAAGTTTAGATAATCATGGGTTAATTTCTCGATGGCTGACTATAAAAAAAAAAAAATCACATGGCTTTATTAATGATCGGATAATGCCGAGAGGATTAAAATTATTGTACACATATAAAGGCGTTCTTTATTTATGCAGTTCATAAAATATCTTGGGGATGTTAATATCCAACATCTACTGAGAATAAACCTGATTGTTCACAGTATTATACGCAGTTTGCAATTATTTAATGGAACAGGAAGATATTTAAGAATTTAAATCTTAAACTAAACAATAAATAAAACCATTCTTCAAACACCAGTATAGTAGTGACAAGTTAATGTTCTAGTGTATAGAATGCAGTTGTCACCCTGAGTAACTGGGGAAAAACAACAAAGAACATGAATATATCACCAGAGACCTTCATTAAGGCTGAAATCTCACCGAAGGGTTTGCTGCATTGTAAGGGCTTTTCTATGGGTATGTGTCCAACACTCCCTCCCCCAATGAAGCACAAAGAACTCTTAAAGGGAAGGAGGACAATTTAAATTATGACTCTTTTTTATACTCATCAGGTATAATCCAGCTTTTCTGTGAACTGAGCATATCATGTAGAGAGTAAAAAAGTGCCAATGTGAGAAAAATTAGATGCATTTTATAATGTGAAATGAAAGCTGTTGACACTTGACAATGTAATGAACACTTATTGGATGTTCACAGCTCCTCCACATGAGGGCTGCCAGGCGCAGGGAGAAGGGAGCCAAGACAGGCTCAAAGGGACCACCGGGCAGCAGGAGGGTAGGTGGAAAGCCCACTGCAGTGGCTAGTTTCATGATCTACCAGTAAGGGCTGAGACTCTTTGAGAAGGTATACAGCAGTGCTTGCGCCCGCCTTAGTGGGAGAGCAGAGAACGAAGGGCCCGTTCTCCTATCAGTGTGTGTGTGTGTGTAACACTCTGACAAGTACCACGAGGTCTCCTCCAGTCTGGAGGTATTCACCCAGTATATCCCATCCCCAAAAGGCCCAGCTTGAAGCATGATTTATCCCCAGTACCCCAAGAGCGTATGCACGACCCTCCCAGAGCAAGTTTGCATGACTCTTTTTCCTTAAATTTCCCCTCCCATATAAGCTTATTTGTCAGAATTCCCCACCAGTAGCTGAGTTTAATGGAGTGTCACCTGCTGGCTGGGCCCCCACTACATGGCCACCCTAATAGTGTGGCTCTAGCAGTGAGGCGGAGGGTGCGTGTGCCTGACTTCTGTGACTCACCCCTCTTAGAACCAACACGCAGGCATTTTCTCCATGCATCTGTTTCTGGATTCTCCGCAGCATGCACCCTGTTTCTACAAAGCTTTTCAACCTCTGGCTTCTGTGACACTATTCTCTGTTCCCTGTCCACTTCCTACCTGCAAACAGCTCTCTCACCTAGCACAGTGTCCTTCCTTCTCTCCATTCACATTCTCACTACCTGAGTGAGGGCTTATATTCTCTATATCACAACCTCTGAACAGGTCTTTCAAAATTCAGTCTTTCCTTTCTAATCCACTCCACAACTTCCAGAAGCAAAGTTTTAAACACGTCCATTCTCAAAACTTCCAATTCTCCCCACAGATCCCAGGTCGCAGGTCGAATTCCAGACGCAGGCCTGAAGTCGTAAGCTGTCCACCTCCCTCCCACTTCACGTATCCCGAGTTGTCCTCTGCACTGGGCTTCCTTTGGACAGACACTCTCTGTTTCTTTTCACTCTCTTACACTGCTTTCTTTCTCTCTCAGCTCCTAGTTCTCTCTGTCTTGATCAATGTTCTTTCCTTTCCCATTCCTGTCTCCGTTCCAAATTCTGTGCTTCCCTCAAGATCCCTGAGGTTTTTCCAAGTGGAGGTAATTAAATAGCAACTTTCCTCCGAATTGCCAAGACCCTATGTTATGAGTTGTATGTACATGTTTTATCTCTTCTCTGGGACATAAATTCCTTTGGGGAGAATTCTTCTTTGTGTCTTCTCAGGCCCAGTCTTGAAATTAGCAGGCCTTCGCTGAATTTGTTGAACAATGGCCAATAAGTTTGAATACTGCTTGCCTTAATGATACCAACTTGGCATGCAGGGACACTTTGGCTGTCCTAGGCCAAGTCTGGGAATACTTAAAACACCATGGGCTTTGGTAAGGTGTCACAGCTTGCCACCCCCTTTTTTCCTGACTGCTCCTTAAGGAACATGGTCCTTTTTCAAAGCCAGCAGAGGGAAAAGGGAGGTGGGAGCATCTTATTGGGCAGCTGCCAAATAACATAAGTTTTACCAGATTTCTCTCTTGGAATCCTGAAACTGCTCTGAACTAGAGAAAAGAATTTTTCCTACTGTAGCCCATCTAAGCCAGCATAGCTTTTGGGGATGGATTTGCCCACACCCAGATGTTAAGATTAAATTATTTGCCAGCCTTTGAGGTGTATGTATATGCATGAGGTTTCCTGCCCATCTTCTGCAAGGGAAAACACATTAAGGCTAAGCTATCATCAAGGGGACCTGAGGGCTATAAGGTTGTCCCTTACATGGATCCAGGGCCCACAAAATGCAAGTAGGCGGGTTCTCTTTGTACCACAGGGGGATTTTCCTAAGAAGGCCAGTGTCAGGAGCTCTAACTGAGGTAAAGGAAAAGTAGTTGGCATGTTGGTTGAAGCTTTGCAAAGATGCAGATTTGGATGGAAGCTGCTTCTCTACATTCCCTTCTTTATTCTATTTCTCTTCTTTCTATCCTGTACCCATCCCTCCATTCACCACACTGGGGTTAAGGAGGTTTGGGGAGCAAACTTGATTTTATCCTAAGATCTCTCTTGAAACAGACCTCTGATTAATAGCAATGCCACACAGGTGCCAGCAATTCTTATTTGTATTGAGTAACTAAAAACAAAACAAACAAACAGATCTGGTAGCTAAACTACAAAAGAAGCAACGACAAAAACAGAATTTTAGCTTTGAAACTGTTCAAGACTGACGTTTTGGGGGCAACGTTAGAATTTCCTGGGAAAATGAGGGATTAGAATATTGCAGGTCAAAATGATGAAGACTGCAAACTGGGTACACATTTCCATCGTCCGAGGACCTGCAGAGGCTGAGGTCCCACCCAGGACACGGACAAGTTCCGGCATCCCGAGGGATTCCTAGTGGCTCTCTCGCCTCTGCGGCCTCAACCGGAGTTGCACCCGCTGTCCGGGGGGCTGCAGCTCTGCAGGCGCCCCACGGCCCGTGTCCAGGTCCCCTGGGCACATGGCCTCTCCCCGCCGGCCTTCCCGCAGGCCCGCGCTGCCCTGGGCGGCCTCTTCCTCTGCCCTTCGCCGGCTTCCCACCCAGCTGTTCTGCAGCCCTTAGCGCCCCCGAGCGCCTTCCCCATCCCAGCCTCATCCCTTTGTGGCATTTCTTACATCTGTCACTTTACCATTATTGCCTGTTAATACCTATCTTCTCCACTAGACTAGAGGCTTCCCGAGGACCTGGGGTGAACTTCAGGTGACCTCTGCTGTGTCTGGTATTAACCCTTTCGGTGTTGGCCCATGAGGCAGGAGTAGGGTCCCATGGGGGCCGCAGCTAATAATCAATGTGCATGGACGTAGTTCGGCACAACCAGCGAAGCTGTGTGTCTGTCAGCCAGCAGCACAGCACGGGCTGTGCTGCCCGGCAGGAGCTCCGTGAGGGCTGCGGGCGCTTTCCCTTTCTGAGGTACCTTTAAATGAATGATATGCCCCTTGGAGACAATGCCCATGTCCTTCAGGTCTTCTTCCTCCAGAAGCAGCAGTCGCTTTCCCGTGATGTTGTTTTCCTTAAACAAGCTCGCGTACACGCTCATCTCGGCGGAAGAGTCACCTGAAGGCAGGAAGCAGGCAGAATAAAATCAGCCCATATCACGTCCAAAGCAAAGTTAACTCCATGAATTAGGAAGGTAAAGTGTTCCACTTGCCTTTTCTGAGGAGCTGCTGAACCCAAAGATACTGCGAAAGAGAAGACACACATAGTCTTGAAGATTCATACATGGTCAGTGGCCAGGCTCAGCAGTCAAACCCGTAGTTCTCAATAGGTAAAAATATCTTCAATTCTTGGCTCAACCACAAAGGTAAAATAGAAAACTTTCTTTTTATGATTTTAAAACTTCAAGCTTTCAAATTGGAGCTATCCCTCTCCTTGGGGGTGTTGGACACTTGAGGGACATTGCTTTTCCTCCTTATTTGGGAGATATTTAAAAATCCTTTCAAGAAGGTCCTGCAGTGATTTTCCATTTGTGTCCCCGGGGCTGCTTAGGGGCACTGGTTTACCCAGCAATTGTATGAGGGACAGGGACCACACAGCAGGGGGCAGAGAAATGGGTAGAATGTGTCCTCTGTTCTGGGCCTGGTCACGAAGTAGCCACGTGGCCCAAGACAAGATAAAGCATGGAGCTTCCTATATAGAATGAGGTTCGACCCAGTGACCTTCAGTCCTTGAATTTCGCTTGGCACGTGCTTACTGGTAGCTTCTCACATTACCCTGCTCAAGGGAGAGAGAAGGGAGGCCAGACCCAGTCCCACCAATTCTCTGGGGAGCCCTTGATCCTGGAATTTTATCTAAATGGTTCGCCTGAACCCCAGAGCAAAGACTAAAAATAGCCTTTAAAAAAATTTCTTCTCAAAGCAGATGCGCCAGCTTTGCACCTGGAGATAAAGGGCCTCTATCCATGCCGGGGGATGAAGCAGATCCGGCGCCCTCTCCCTGCCAGGCAGGGCTGGCAGGTCTGAGCATCACCGGGCTCAGCAAATGGACTAAGTAGACACAACTGGCGCCAAGTTTCCTTTTCCCGTAGAAGCCAGAGGCCGGCTAATGTTGAAAGCACTTGTACTTCACCGAGTACAAAGGGCAGGAAGGGAAATGCCTTGGCCCAGAAACCAGGCTGAGTTAGTAAACAGACCTTCCCAGGAGTTTCTAGTAGTGAGTTTGTACCTTATAGCACCTGGTCCACTTCCTGGGGTGGGGCCTGCTAAGGTGGGCATTACAGGTTTTTTCTTCTTTTCATTTAATGATGCCTTGAGCATTAGGCCCTGAGGTCTCTGATCAAGAATTGCCAGAGCTGTTTTTCCCTAAGGAAACAGATCCAGAGATACTACAGGCTAAGTAGGACTCTCCCTCAGGGTCTCTCCCGAGTGTGGGGTGCAGGACTTCTTTTCGACTTAGTCTGCCCACATTTCCCCCAAAACATGGGGCTTCTCTGGCTCCAGCTGCAGAGAATATCTGAGAGCACATGTCCATTTCTCCTTGGGAAGGTCAGACTAAAGATGGCAAAATTAAACCTGTCACTTTTGAATGGGCCTAAGGTGGGAAGGAACTCCAGCTCAGGGGAATCACAGTCTAGAACTGCCTTTTCCAGATCTTTCTCCACCGTGGTTCAAGTCCACCCCTGGTAATTTTAGGAAAATTTATGATCAATTTTCTTTACATGTGCTCATGTGGCATCCTGGATCAGCCCTTTAGTTTTGTTACTGGTCCTCATTATTGTATTCTAGACACCTTTCAGAGCAGACAGGGGGTGGGATCCTCTTGTAAGATTCGAAGCGATACTTGCTTTGCTCTTGAGGCCTTATTTTAAACATTACTGCATTCAAATTAGAAAGACGTGGTATTTGTCAACTTCCAGTTCCTAAGGCCCAAGCTTCTGGCTGTGTTTTTAACTTGTGGACAAATTTATGAAATACCTTCCCAGGTCAAATGAGGCACTAGCAGAAGCAGCTTACCACGTCGTCTTCAGTCCATGCGCCAATCTCAAAGGAAGGCAGCAGCTGCAGGGGAAACATGAATGACATAAAAAAATAGTATATTATCATTGTCCTCTTGGGTTATCCCGTTGTCTACTTGAGCTCTCGGCTGCTGCTCTGGCTGGTTCCTCCTGCAGGTGAGGTTGAATGGAAAACAAGTTTCCTGACCTTAAGAGGAGTTTTTCAGGGCTCCGGGGATTTTGCCCTCAAAAGCCAATCATTTGGATCCACCTCTCAGTAACAATTCACTGCTCTGTGAGCTGCCGCAGCCGGACTCAGTACATCTCAAGATTTTCCTCTCTGAGTACTTGACACACCGAGAGTCCTTTTATATCCCACCATACGCCTTGGCAGTCAAGAAACTTCTGACATTTGTCAGATGCCAGAGCCTTCTTCGGAATTCTCAGTCAACGTGAGGACTGTTTGATTATTAATGAAAATTCCAAAGCAACCATTTGGTAACCAGGCGGCTCGTGCATATTCTCACAGGAGGATTTCTAAGTGTTTAATTAAATGTCTTGTTTGCATTACATTTCCAAAACCAAATATTAGGGCCCAGGGATGAAAAAGGACAAGTGAAAGTGGACCTGTTCTAACAAGCCCAGGCTGCAGAGTGGCTCTAACTAAAAAACAAAACAAAACTCCCTCCCTGCAGGTGCACAAACCTGAGGTAACTTTGCAAGAGGACTTCAGGTGGCACCATTTTCAGAGCCAAAGGGCCACTCACTTCAGCGTGTGCCCCGAGGCCATAGACTAAATAATAAATGCCTACATAATTTGGGAAAGGCCTGGGTCTCCCGTGACTTGAATTAGCGTTTGTTACAGCCACCAGCTTTCACGAACTTAACTTGTCCAAATGGCTGAACTGCTCATGAGATAATGTGGCAAAGTGCTATTTAACCTGTTACAAATAATACTTTTTGGTGGGTGAGCTGGAAAAAAGTTGAATTTGGTTATTTTTAATATTAGGATAAAAATTAGAGGGTGGGTGAGTTCACATTTTAACCTGCAGGTATTCTGAACTCACATGCTCGAACTCTGCTAGGAGAGGCATGTCTCTGCCTTCAAGAGCTTTTCATTGAAATGGGGGTAAAACAGGTATGAATTACACACGGGAGATAAAGGCCACCTGCATCCTCGTTTACTCAGTGCCTAGCCCAGTGCCTGGCATACAAGACCTGGTAAATTTCTGTTGAACAATTTGTTGAATGAATAAAACTGAAGGATGCATTTACTAAAATGCTAAATTCTCCAATATAGAGCTCAGTGTCTATGGGAATGCCAGGGAAAAGGAAGGGTTTCATAGGCTCAGATGGGGGAATGGAAGGCATAGTGGCTTGAGCTCGGCACTGCAGGGCAAGGAGAAGAGCAGGTGAGAAGCAACAGGGCGAAACACTGGCAGCGGGGGGGTAGAGGAAGGATGGGCATGGCACATTTGCCTAACCAGGGCACCAGATGCAGTGTGTGCAGGTCCAAAAATAAAGGGAAGTGAGGCTGACTCTCGGGGGCCAGGCAGAATGTTTTTTAAAAACCCACTGGTTACAATGACTATGAATGTGCAGAGTTCGCGTATTGTAGATAAGTGGCAAGGACATAACTCGCTACTGCTCTCTCTATGCTCTGCTGCCCCCATGCTCTCCGGCTGCCTGGGGATCGCCCTTCCTCCTCTGAAACACCTGGCGTGTGTAGGCATCAAGGGCCACGTGCACTCACCTGCTGCAATAATGCAAAAGGAAAGCCAGGGATAGGATCTGAAACTGAGCCCCATCCAAGAAAACACAGGGCAAGTTTTATTTCTCCCCAGGGCAGCTGGATACAGCTGCAGAAACATGTCATTTCCTTTTCCCAGCACGGAAGCAAATGTGAAGTAGGGAACTTTTCTGATTAGTTCAAGAAAAAACAGACTAAGTTACAGAAATATTTCCCTGCATCAGGACTGTCTTTTAGAGGGAGAAGAGGGATGTGCAGTGTTTTGATTTTTATACCATTCCCAAATGTTGTGCTGAACAAAACTGATAAATAAGTATTTCTTGCTTAGAATGAAGGTTGCAAATGAAACAACTAGTCAAAACCAACACCTTCGGTTTTAACGTCAAAAGGAGAGAAGAGTTTTCGTGCACTCTGAGAACAGCTCATCAGGATGAGGCCAAGGGACAGGCCTGGTTCAGTGTGGCCTCGCTCCGGTGGGGCCCCCGCAGGATGCCCGGGAGGCCAGCGAGAGGAAGGCGCTGCTCCGAGGTGGTTTGGACCGGGCGGGACGGGCTGAGAGTTAGTGACCTCCAGCCACCGTTTCTGTACCTTGTTAACGTATCAGTGTATGTGCTGTAGGGTGAGTTCTAAGCATTTCTGTCTCTCTCTAGGAACAGGAAAACACCCACCTTGTGACTGCCCCATCCCTTTACAAATTCACACATTCCACCTGATTTCAGGAGAGAAGAGCTCCCACTCATGTGCACTTGTAACAGGATTCCTTCGAAGAATGTTGGGAGTCAAATCTAACCAAGATGTGATAGACATAGGAACACATAACAAAGGGGTTTACTGTCAAAACGTTTATTGTAAAATGGAGTCTTAAAACAAAGGAAAGCAAAGTTCACAACAAAATGAAAATTATGACACCAGCTTGGATTCCTGAATACATCGTGGACTTTGTGCCAGAATGTTAAATTCCAGCGACGAAGTCAATCACTGAGTAGTCTTACCACACAAGAGTAAAATTTAATCTTTCATACAAACATTACACAAGATTTTGGCGTAGGACTTGCTCAGAATAACATTGCGATAGAATAATTGAGAAGAAATGTTAAAAAAACAATAAAGTGATAATGCCATCTAGTCAAAGCTCACACCCAAAGAATATAAATATTTTCTATTATTTAGTACAAAAATTTTAAAACAGTGTAAAAGCAGTATGTGCAGTGTATCTGACATTAAAAGATCTATTATTCTGCACACGATGTAAAATAATTAATGTAGGTGCTTGAAATTCTACTTTGAAGTAAATAATCACACGCCAGAAAGCTCCTCAAAGGCAATAGAGTGCAAAGAAGTTGGAATCAGAGGAAACGTGGCCAGTCCTCCAGATTTCCTGGTAGACACTCATTTTTCATCACAGAAATGCTGTATCTAGAGCTGTCAGGCTATGCTACAGTCCAAAGATCAGCACAGAGTCTTCTCTCTGGCAATGCTTAAAATCTAAGCAGGAAACCAGTCTTACTCGAAAGCAGCAAAAGGTACCTGATTATAGAAAAATGTATGCTCTGTTATATGCGTGGTTTAAAATGACCTTCCACGAAATTCTTAGCACTCCAATGAAAACTCTGAAGATAAAGTTATCTACATCATAGTGCTAACAGAAGTCATGCTGGAGCTCTTCCAAACCTTCCCCCACCCTCAGTTCCTTGACTTTAATGGGAATCATGTTGGAGGTCTTCAGCTGGTGTTAAGTCTAACTAATGAGCTGCATGTTAAAAATCACTGGCTAAAACCCGGCCTTCAACAGTTCCACAACATCAAAACAAGAGTGCCTCATGCCTGTAACCTCTTGCCATTGGTTACTTATGTAAAATATTACATTGTGATTTTGCTAAAAAACAAACAAACAAAAAAAAGACGATTGTCAGGAAAAGGGCCCTTTTAAATGAACCTGGCTACTTTGCAGAATTTGTAGCTCCTCCGCGATGCTCTTCTTTTTCAGTTATTGTGGCATCAGTGTAACAGGAGAGTAAATTGAGCTGTTTCATAAAGTTTCCACCGGCATTCTTATGGGGAAGGAAACCATTTCTACAAGGGGATTTAAGATAAATGCCACAAACACAAAATTCAGATTGTGTAGTTATAATTCTGACAATGCACCTTTTGACTTGGGTGAAAAAAAATGGACAAGGAACTCTAAAACTGCCAGGTTTAGCAAGTTTCTCAGTGGAGGAAGGGACAAGGGGTATTTTGGATGGAATTCTCTATTGGGTGCAACTGTCTCTAGCATTTGGGATGTTACCATTTTTGGCATTAGGCACTAAATACACTCCCCAGTCACCATGACAAGCAAAAATAGGCCCCAGCACTCCTACACATCATCAGGTGACAGCACTTCCTTGGCTGAGAACCACTAGTCCAATGTCATCAAATTCTACACGATCAACTTTATGAGTAAAGGTAAAAAGATGAAAGAATAGTATATTTTCAGTTATATGGCTCTGACAATTATTACTATAATTTAGAGTTTCAATTCTCATTCTGAATCTTCAAATTTCTTTCTTTCTCTTCTCTTATAAATGTACATTTTGTAAGTCAAATAATTGGAAATAAATTCAACACCAGTAATTTGTCATTTCAAAAACTGATCTGAAAAGTGAATTAGAAGCTGCACAATTAATATCAGCATTAGGTTGATTTTCTGCATAAGGTTAATAACCATTTCTCTTTAAAATCAATAAAACAAATAATAGAGTCTGAAGTCTAATCTTCACAGAGTGAGGCCACTTTAAAATTCTATTTATGTGATTCAGGTTCCAGGGATGTTCAAGCCCTAGAAAGATGCTGCTTTGGAACAGAGAGTAAGACAGCCAGTGCTGCATGGTGACTACCTGCAGCCTAATTCTCGGTGAGGACAGTTCCAAGTTTATCACGGAGGTTATCAATCCGCTGTGTCCTACATCCTCTCAGTTTCTTGATTAGCAGAGTGCTAAGTATGACCATCTCTGGAATACTGGTGGGAAATGGCAGCAATTGAAAGATCAAAGAAATATTGCCTAATTAATGGTAAATCGGGGTCTGGGTACAGAGTCCTATTACCTTCTCTTTTGGCCCTCCTTGGCTGTTTTTATTAATGTAGCAAAACTATGTGTAATCATAATAGATTTATATGTAAAGGGGAAAACCCCCGGCAGTTTCGTTAAGTTCATCTGTTCTAAATTATTGCTGATTATTCCTTAATGAGGGGCAAGGTTTGCATTCTTTCATAAAGTGCAGAGATCCCAAAGTTAGCCCACAGATTCCCTTATCAGGGAGGCCTTTCCTGACCACACATTAAAAAACCTCGACACTCCCCATGGGTCTTCTCCTCCTGCTTTCCTGTCACAGCATGCACTTATCAAATGTTCTCATTCCAGATGATACATTAGTTTCAGTGATTGTTGATCTCTGCTCTCTCACACGTAAGCTCTACAAGTGCAAAGATTTTAGTCTGGCTGTTCCCTAGAATAGTACCTGGCACAGAGAAGGGGCTCAATGAATGTCTGTGGAACGAATGACTTTATCTTTGCCTGGTAAAATGTCCAAGAGGCTTTGAAACGACCCTCCCTGGTTCTCCCCTTCAGGTTGCTGAGCCACAGTGTCCCGGGGCGTGCTGGGAAGTGAAGAGCTGAAACCGCCCCTCTGCTCCACTCCAAGGCTTTCGGCTTGAGTGGCTTGGCTTGAGTGAGGGAGCTGACAGGGTGCTTACATAAGTGTGTGCCTATTTGTCACCAGCGTTAGATTGTGCTGTGGTGTGTGGATATCTGTATCTGTGTATGACTGGGTATGTGGGGAGCCCATTTTCTAGGTGAAAGGCTTACCTACTCTTTCTCTATTTACTTAGTCTGTGAGTGGTAGCTTCAAAGAGCAACGTAATTCATCTACAGCTCACATTCGTTCCTGAAAGCAATAAACTTTTAATTTCATCTCATACTAAACAAATATCACTTGAAGTTGATAGTTTAGTTTTCCAGAAGGTTACTGAAAGCACTTATTTTTCAGTGTCTTTTCACTGGAATAATTACAGTAGCTAACATGAATTTACCATGGGCCTGGTACTTAAGTGCTTTACATCTATTATCTAATAATAATAATAATAATAATAATAATAATAATAATGATCCTCACAACAATTCTTTGAAGTGTATACTATTATCATTTCCATGTTAGAGATGAGCAAACAGACACACAGAGGTTAAATAATTTGCCCAAGATTGTACAGCAAGTAGACCCAGGGCTTTGAATCATGATCTGACTTCAGATCCCTTTTCTTCATCATTCTACTTATATAGGCTGTTCTACATCTCACACCCAGAACATTTTATTTGTTATTTTTCTCCAAATAAAGCCTTAATGGGGATTAGAAGCATGCCATGCTTCAGATTCCAAGAGGATTTTTATGATCAAGTGTACTTGGAAATAGTATTAGATAATATCTATGATCGTATCCTTTCTTAAATCTTCCATAAAAAGAATTACCAGAAGTACTTTGATTTAATAGTCAAATGAATGGCCCTGCTCTCTAATTTAGACAGAAAAAAAAAGTTTTTGTTCTTTTGCCTTTTTTTATATAACTGCAAATGCTCTTTAGTTTTTTCTAAACAGTGTTTTATAGTTTAAATGAGCTTTTACAAATAGGTGATAACATTCGGAGAATATCTCTCTGGCTACCCAGGTGTTTAGAGCAGCACTTACACCTACTTCTCTTGAACACCAGCATTGCTTGGTCAGGGTTCAAAAAAGACAACCCTGGAAGGCTGGCTATATTTAATATAAAAAGAACCCTTCAGCTTGCACTTTTGCCTAAGTAGTGAAAACTTATCTTCGCCATTCCTTTTATAATACTTATTTCGTACTTTAAAAATCTATACATATATTTAGAATCCAAGATTATCAAGCCCCCCTGGAAAACAAACGCATACATGCCCTTAGAGGAAGCGCAGGGCAGGCCTGTATCAACACTCACACTGCCTGGGACACAATGTCCCTCCAAGACCGTATCGTTCTCTGTATAAAGGAAACGGAAAGCCTTAGATGACAGTGTGTTGTTGTTAAGCAGCTTCCAGGGCTAGCACTGGTTTGAAAGCCTGTGACATCTGCTGCTGTTTTCAAGTTAGAGTATTTCTCCTTCAGATGTACAATGGAGAACATCTCTCATGTCTCACTTTGAATGGTTGTACGGTTAAGTATTGAAAGTTTTAGGCATTTAGGTATCTCTGAAGAAGTATTTGTTATAACCTTCTTTCATCTCAATTTTTTTATTGTTGGATTTTGTAGTCACAATCGGTTATTTCTGGCAGCACAGTGTATTGCCACAAGAAAAAAAAAGAGTAGTATGTCACAAGAAAATCAAGTGTCAACGAAGATTAGGAGTTAAGAGTGCTTGTTCAAAATGTACGTTTTCTTAAGCAATTGACTAAACGAAATCAAATCAAGTCAAATCAAATACAAGCTATTAAGTATTCATTAACGAAAAAGCCAGAATGTCATTAGTCAAAAACACTATATTGCATATGGAATCACAAATTTCTATAATCAGGCACCACATTTGCTGACTCATATACTTTTTTGGCTTGATTCCC